TGGCAACATTGCCTCTGCTGGCTATTTCCTTCTGAACCAGGAGCTAGTCTGCTCCCCATTCGCTTTCCTCAAAAAGAGAAAGGTCCTGCAGTTTGGGGGTGATTTTTGAGATCCCACCCATCAATGTTCATAGCATCTGATGTTATCCATCACAGAAACTACAATTTCCCTCCTGTAAATAAATCTTTTGCTTAAAATGAAGAATGAACTAAGGTGGAAGAGTATTGGGACCTCTGTGGTGGGTGTGGTGTGATGATAAACATTTGTGGAGGGGTAAACCACTACCTCCAGCACATATACAGTGTTGTGAGTCAACACTGCCTCAGTAGATATAATTTAATACAATTTCTTAATAAAACAAAAGAAGAATGATAGCAGAGGTGACCCCTTTTGATATTTGTAACATATCCATAGCTGAAAAAAAGTCCAATATCTGAGCACTTTTATCCAGTCAACTGAAATGTGGGTCAGTAGAAACTGAAGTCTCTTAATTGAGGCTCAGCTGGGATAGGTGAGTCAGCAAGCCACCTGAGCCTCCTTTCTTATTCCCAGAAAGCAGGAGAAGATCATAAAGCAGGGCCCATCTCTACCAGGACTTGACCATACCTCTTAGAAAGGGCAAGTCTGCCATGAAATTGCATATGGTTTAAATATTAAGTGGCACAGTCACATCATTTTTAATAGTTGACATTCATGAAACTAACAGAGTTGCAAAATATTCATAAATATGTGAATCCTCCTTTGAGTATAAAAATTTCATTGGTTATCTTTGGCCATTATTCAATGGCTTACTTTTATTATTGTCCTTGCGTTTTTCAGTTATATACAGAAAACATATTTTAGTTAATAATTCATATTGTTACAGGGCACCCCAATGTGAACTGGGTTGCCTGCCTGTGGGTCTTCACCCGTGCGCTTACGATTCAGTCGTATTATGGACACACTCAAAAGGTTAAATAATGGATTTATTTATAAGGAGAAAGGTAAAGGAATAACCCAGGGAAAGAGGGAGAGAAACACAGGTTAACTAGGATGTCCTACCAGTTCTGCTGACGTGGACTCCACCGGCACGCTGAAAACCGATGGAGCGCCAAAAAGATCAGCTGCCAACCACCAGGTCCCCCCAGAGCCCACATGTCCGGTTTTATCCAACCTAGCTGCTCAGCTCCACCCTCACGTCCCGGCGTGCTTCTCCTTGGTACTGATGGGATTTGGAGTTCCAGCATCTGGAGTGGGGCGGAGTCCATGAAACCTGTACCTGTTACAATTTGACTACAGCAAGGAAAATTTTAAATTCTTTTTATTTATATTTTATATTAAATGCATGGTTTATAGCACTGAATGTGATTCCACCTCTGCAGGTGAATGTTAGCATGTGACACCTACCACAGATGTACCCATAGTCCAGTATGCCCTGCGCTTTCCCTCTTCACCCCTCCTCTGCGAGCCTCAATTTTACAGTTATAATTAGATTTTGATTTGGTATCATCTCTTTTATTTGTTTTTCTATATTCCACTTATGAGCAAACACCACCCCATGTTTGCCTTTTTCTTCTGGCTTCATGTAATTCTCTCCAGCTCCTTTTGTTATTGCCTCAAATAACAAAGTTCTTCTTTTTTATAGCTGAGTAGTATTCCATAGTGTATATATGCATCTATACATGATTCTTAATCCACTTATCTGACCTTGGACACTTAAGTTGCTTGCATGGAATGGCTATTATAAATAGCCAGTGTTGGGCCTGACCAGTAATTCCGCCCCTGTACCTTCCTTTGTGTCTGTGTGACCCCTCCCTAAGCCCAGACAGATATATGCACACCCTAGCATTAATTCCTGGGACAGGTTGACATTGGATTCTGATATCAGCTCCTGAGACATCTATTCCTGGAAACACGCCTTTGTGTGGTTGAACTGTGACGCAAGCTGTGACGCTTGTTAATCTTTGAATTCATTTGCTAAATTGAATTTGTGTGGGCTATGACTCATGTAACGGTCAATGAGGCCTATATATTCCCTGACACCCCTCTGGTCGGGGTCTTGCTTCCCTTGTGTGGCCTGCGTGCCTGCAAGAAAGCTTGACCCCAGCTAGCTGGCTCAATAAACTCTGCTTGTTTGTGCATCTCTGGTTCTGTCCTTTGTCGAGGGAGGCAACCGGGTGATTTTTACCTTAACACCACGAAATACAAGGGCATAGACCCCTTCTAATTAGTGTTTTACATTCTTCATGTTGAAACATAAGAGTGGAGCTGATGAGCCACATGGTAGATCTGTATTAAATATTTTGAGAAAACTTCATATTGTTCATGGAGGCTGGATGAGTCATTCCCACTAACAACCTAGAAGAGCATTTTTCCATGGGTTTATTGGCCATCTGAATGTCTTTTTTGTTTGTTTGTTTTAAGATTTATTTTTTATTTATGCATATATTACTGGGGTACTGGCCAGAGGTGCAGGTGTGGTGAGAAGATTCACCAGAGACAGAGTGGAGAACAGAACAGGCAGATTGATGAAGTACATTGCTGAGGGGAGCAGCGGACAGGTCAGGAGAGGTCTGCAGCGCCAAGTGGGTCACTTCCGGGGCGGGGATCAAACTCATGCAGAAGTGGGTTTAACTTCTTAGTGCTGTGCTTTAACCCACTGAGCCACCAGGGAGGGCCTGAGTGTCTTTTTTGGAGAAGATTCTATTTAGCTCTTCTGACCTTTTTTCAGTTAGGATTTTTGTTTTCATTTTGTTGAGTTGTATGAATTTTCTAGATCTTGGATATTATTAGCCCTTTGTCTAATATATGATGCAAAAATTATGCTGTTCTTGATTTTCCTATGTTTTATAAAAGATACTTTCACAATTGCTTAGAGATTTACTCTATTGATTTTCAGCAGGTGGCACTGTGTTTTTTTTTTTTTTCCAGGTTTTCCCGGTTTATATGATTTTTTAGATGTCTGATCTTTCTGGAACTCCACAGATTAAGAGACTTAATCTTGCAGTTTTGAGGTGGGGAAGGAGCCTTTGTGGATCCAAACACTGGTGTAATTGAGGGCAGGGTGCTGGCTTGTGCCTGAGGCACCACTGATATCCTTCCTCTATGGGGCTCCAGACATGAATCTCTGCAGACTGTGCTCTGTCAGTGCTACAAGGTCAACACAAAATGGGGAGCCATACTATGTCGGAGACTTTGTCCCGGATCACGGATTATTGGGGGGCAGAACAGGCACGGTCTCAAGGTGGGAATGGCGTCGGCGAGTGAGATTCCTAGAAAAAGGGGGAAAAAGGAAAAAAGGGGAGTGGGCGTGAGGAAGACACGGGAATGGGAGTTGGGTGCAAGTCTTCCTGCTCCGCCTTTAGCTGAGGTTTATTTTATACACTTCAGGCAGGCAGA